CTACGAAGAACTAGACAAAGCCTACAAACAATGCAACACACAAAACATCATCTACGTAATGGGAGACTTCAATGCAAAAGTGGGAGATGAACGAATTGGCAGTACTGTAGGACCTTTTAGTCTAAGCAACAAGAACGATAGAGGAAATAATCTGGTGGCCTGGTGCCAATCACATGATCTTGTCATCACGAATACATGGTTCAAGAATCACCCACGTAGACTATGGACATGGCAAAGCCCCGGAGACCGGGCTAGAAATCAAAGACTACATCAGGGTCCCTCATCGCTTCAGGAACTCTGTCATCTCCTTCAAAGCATTTCCTGGAGCAGACTGTGATAGTGACCATGTTCCAGTTATCAGTGAGTTTCGAGTAAAACTAAAAAGATTAAGAAAACCAAAGAAAAATCCAAAGCTACAAGTCTACCTCCTCAAAACTGACCTAGACATGAAAGAAAAATTCAGAATTAAGATACAGAATCGGTTTGAAGCAATGAGCGAAACCAGCGAAATTACAGAGACCGAGATATTGTGGGAGCAGCTGAAATCCTCGATCACGACATCTGTTGAATCAGTACTCCCCAAAGCTCAAATGAACAAAAAGAGAAAATGGATGACTGACGACATCCTAAAACTAATGGAACAAAGACGACTCAATTAATCAAATCTACTTGAATACAAATCGATAAACAAAGAAATCAAGAAGAAGTGCTCAGAGGCAGAAGAGAAATGGCTGAATAAGCAATGTTCAGAGATTGAGAACAAATTGAATGTGAACACCAAGTACGCTCATAAAAAAAATCAATGAAGTTACAGGAAAATCAAGATGCACCAGCTCAGATTGTATCAAATCAAAAAGTGGGACCATTCTCATGGAAAAAAGTAAAATATTGAACAAGTGGTCGGAGTACATAGAAGAACTTTTTGATGATAATAGGATGTCTAAACCTGACATCAAGAAAAATAAGGAACGGTTTTCAATTATGAAAGACGAAGTGAGGCAAGCTATAAAATCAATGGAAAGTAACAAGGCAACTGGCCCTGATGAAATCTCTGCTGAAATAATTCGAAGTCTTGATGAACTAGGTGTGGATACCATCACAAAGTTAATAAACAAAATATATGATACCGGTGAAATCCCGAAAGACTTAACCAACTCAATATTCATAGCCCTCCCAAAAAATTCTGGAGCCACTGAATGTGAACTACATCGCACAATCAGTCTGATGAGTCATGTGACAAAGATTCTACTCAAGATTCTTATGATTCGAATGAAAAACAAGATCANCATCACAGATCGTTACCGACAGGTGATTTCCCTGTCACAGATCAGTACCGACAAGTGATTTCCCCATCACTGACCGTAACAGACAGGCCCGGGACCCATCACACACCGTGACAGACAGGCCCGGGACCCATCACACACCGTGACAGACAGGCCTGGGACCCCTCATAGACCGTGACAGACAGGGGACAGGGCTCTGGACCCATCACAGACCGTGACAGACAGGGCTTGGGGCCCATCACAGATCGTAACAGAGAAGGGTGTGGGTGTGGGTGTGCGTGTGGGTGTGGGGTGTGGATGTTACTCTTATTTTCATACGTACACCCACACCCACACTCTGTAGACTCCCAAGCATATCATGATCAACGTCAAAATTTCCAGTCGAAGTAACAGCGTGAATGGGGTTCTCAAAGAGAACACCTCGCTCGGTAGAGATGGTCATGAAGGACAGCCGACACGCGACCGTCATCAGGCTACTGTCCGTACCAAAAACTCACTCAAACTAGAACCTGGAATGTAAGAACTATGTTCCAAAAGGGAAAGTTGGAAAACGTTAAAAAAGAAATGGAGAGGCTGAAGCTCAATGTACTAGGTCTCTCTGAGGTCAGATGGACAGGAGTCGGATCTTTTACAACAGACAACTACACTATATTCTACTCTGGAGGTGACCAACATGAAAGAGGAGTAGGCATACTTCTTGACAAAGAAGCATCTAAAAGTGTAAAAGGCTTCTGGGCAGTCTCAGACAGAGGGCTGCTTGTAAAACTTCATGGCAAGCCTTTCAATATCTCCTTCATCCAAGGTTATGCACCGACAGCTGACCATGATGAGGGTGCAATCACAAATTTCTATGAAGAACTAGACAAAGCCTACACGCAATGCAACTCACAAGACATCAGCTACGTAATGGGAGATTCCAATGCAAAAGTGGGTGACGAACGAATCGGTAATACTGTAGGACCTTTTGGCCTAGGAAACAAGAATGATAGAGAAAATAATCTAATAACCTGGTGCCACTCACATAATCTTGTCATCACAAACACATGGTTCAAGAATCACCCACGCAGGCTATGGACATGGCGAAGCCCTGGAGATCGGGCTAGAAACCAGATTGACTAATTTACATTATGGTCCCTCATCGCTTCATGAACTCTGTCATCTCCTCCAAAGCGTTTCCTGGAGCAGATTGTGGCAGTGATCACGTACCAGTTATCAATGAAATTCGAGTAAAACTAAAAAGATTAAGAAAAAATATGAAAAATCCGAAGCTTCAAGTTCATCTGCTGAAAACCGACCTAAACATGAAAGAAAAATTTCGAATGGAAGTACAAAACCGGTTCGAAACTTTGAATGAAACTCTAGACACTGAAATATTGTGGAAACAGCTGAAATCCACGATCATGACATCAGCTGAAAAAGTTCTCACTAAAGCTCAAGAGAACAAAAAGACGAAATGGATGACTGGCGACATTCTAAAACTAATGGAACAACGACGACGCAAAAAGTCAAATCTATCTGAATACAACTCGATAAACAAAGAAATCAAGAAGAAATGCTCAGAGGCAAAAGAGAAATGGTTAAATGAATAATGTTTAGAGATCAAGAACAATTTGAATGTGAACACGAAATACGCTAACAAAAAAAATCAACGAAATTACAGGAAAATCAAGATGCACCACCTCAAGCTGTATCAAATCAAAAAGTGGAACCATTCTCATGGAAAAAACAGAAATACTGAACAGATGGTCGGAATACATAGAAGAACTTTTTGATGATGATAGGACGTCTAAACCTATCATCAAGAAAAACATGGAAGGGCCTTCAATTATGAAAGATGAAGTAAGACAGGCTATAAAATCAATGAAAAATAACAAGGCAACGGGTCCTGATGGAATCTCTGCCAAAATGATCCAAAGTCTCGACGAACTAGGATTGATACCATCACAAAATTAATAAACAAAATATATGATACAGGTGAAATCTCAAAAAATTTAACTAAATCAATATTCATAGCCCTCCCGAAAAAGCCTGGAACCACTGAATGTGAACTCCATCGCACAATCAGCCTCATGAGCCATACGACAAAAATTCTGCTCAAGATTCTCATGATGCGAATGAAAAACAAGATCAAACCAGAAATAGCCAAAGAACAATATGGATTCACAACAGATAAGAGCACTAGAAATGCAATCTTCATCCTTCGGATGATAATCGAAAGAACAATAAAAGTCAAGCACGATATATACCTCTGCTTCCTCGATTACACAAAAGCATTTAACAAAGTCAAACATAATCTTCTATTCCAAATTCTAGAAAAACTCGATATTGATGGTAAAGACCTACGCTTATTACAAAATCTTTATTGGGATCAAAAAGCCGCCATGAAAGTAAACAATGATACCGGTGAATATATAAATATCAAGAGGGGGGGTCAGACAAGGCTGTGTTCTATCCCCAGACCTCTTCAGCATCTATGGTGAAACCTAGAAGATATGGAAGATGTGAAAATTGGAGGCTATAACTGCAATAACATCAGATATGCAGATGACACTGTACTAATTGCCAGTACTAGTGAAGAACTCCAGAGAATGGTTGATGTGATATCAAGAGAAAGTACAAAAATGGGATTATTACTGAATGTCAAGAAAACAGAATGCATGAGCATTTCAAAGAAAAATAATCCACCAGTATGCAACGTGAAAATAAATGGCGAATCTATCAAACAAGTTGAACGTTTCAATTATCTGGGCTCTACCATAACATCAGATGGTCGATGTGATGAAGAAATCAAAAAGAGAATTGCTCTCTCCAAACAAGCATTCCAAAAAATGAGTCCAGTTGTGAAAAACAGAACCATATCTATCAACACCAAAGCACGAGTACTCAAATGTTATGTGTGGTCGGTTCTCCTGTATGGATCTGAATGTTGGACAATCAGCAAGGAAATGGAAAAACGACTAGAAGCTACAGAAATGCGGTTCCTAAGAAAAATGTTGGGTGTATCATGGACAAACAAAGAAACCAATGAATCGGTAATGAAAAGAATGAAATGGAAGAGATGTTTGTTGAATAACATCCGGTATAGACAACTGAAATTCATCGGTCATCTAATACGAAAAGGGTGCTTGGAACATCAAGTATTGACTGGCAAGATTTACGGGAAGAGAGACAAAAGAAGACAAAGAATGAAGTACCTCGAAAACATCAATCAATGGATAGAACAGCAAGGATACGGGAAAATGGGCCTTATTCATGCAGCTCAAGACTGGACAAAATGGCGGATCATGGTAGCCAACGTCTGCAACAGATAAGGCACTTAACTGAACTGAACAACTATCCTCCCACGTCCTGTAAGAAATACACACTTTAAAAAAAAACTTTGGTTGTTATTATCTTTGTTTTCTTTTCTTTTCGTTTTTCTTTTTCTATTTCTATTTACTCGTAACACACAAAGATGAACTTGTCAAAAAAAGTTCATGTTCAACAGATTTCAAAGATCATTATATACCGCCATACCAACGATTATTACGAAGAAATCAATCATGGAAGCTCAAAAAACTTAAACAGGAACTCGATTTACAAAGAGAATGTCGGAATGGCAAATTAACATTATTCTAACAACCCGAAAATTATTTATGCTATTTTATACATGAACGAACTGACATCTTTATTTTGGACAAATTAATTGATCAAGTAAAATTAACAAATCATTTTTCAATGGATACAGAAGATGACGCATTGTCACATAAGCCCGCAACATTACAAGTAGAATTTATTCGTCATACGTTACCATCAATTATCATTATTATTGAAGTTCAATATTTACCATCAATTACAACTCCATTATTTAAGAAAATACAACAACTATGTACAATGATATTTACATCCAATAATCATATTTATTTATGGGGTTCAGCATTACAAGAACTTGGAAAATTAAATTCATTTAACCTATTTAATACTGGCATTAAAATTCAAGAATATAATATACAAGATGAATACAGTAATGATAAAAAAACAGCACTACAAATAATTATTAAACATGAATTTACAGAATATTTAAACAAAACAGCCACATTAGCTGAATGGGCATGCGGCGTTGGTTTAGCATTAGGTACTTATTTATCATTAGACGTAGTTGGTCCCGAACGTACATATCGAATTAAAGAAGAAAAAAATATATATATCAATATTAAAAGAATATGCAATGAATGATGTTTTTGCTGTTACTAAATTATCGTACAAATTGAATTTAATACAATTTTTACCAACAAGTTACTATGAAGATATATCTGAAGATGAAGAAGATTTCAATGTACAACAAGAATTATCAATTGATATACAACCACTACATGAAGAATTAATAGTTCATGCTACAGATGAACTAGAAGAAACTAATGGAAATGAATTATCATATCAACCACACGAAGATATTGAACCAACTCGACAAATAAACGATCAACCTTATGAATCAAATGATATTAATACAACACATGTGGCACAAGATGTTATCGAACTTCAACCTGGTGATAATATGGATACACGATCCTTACCTGAAATTATGAAAGTTTATTTTTATCATGAACCAAGTCATCCACATCTACAACAACATCATAATGAACAGTCATCAAT